ATTTTCCACGTTCAACAATTCAAAGAAAAAGGTTATGGCATGTGGGAAATCCCTGATTTAGGCAGACAATATATAAAAAAATAAATAAAATAAAAAATGCTCAATCGGTTTCGATTAATATGAGTTATCTCAACACACCATATCATATCAAAACTACTTGAAATATTGATAAATTAAATATGATGTTCAAAACATTGATTCTTGTAAAATAACTCGATATAAATCTTAATATGCAATAGATAATAACAAGAAAGGTACGTAATTGTTATAAATAAATTAGATTCTTCTTTCCAATGCTTATCCAGAGATGATTTAAAACAATCATCTTATAATTTGATCAGCATTTTTAAATATAACAGAAAGAGGACTAATAACAAGAATAACGAAATTAGTGGTGTTAGCTATTAATTAAATGATGTATTCGCACATAGATCGGATTAAATTATCTTTGTTCAACAATTGCCAAGAGGAATAGTACAATAGTTCTGAAGGTTTATCCCCCGAAAAGTTGTATGTGACACGGTGGATCGCCTTTAGCGATTGAGCAAGAACATAAGTTTTTGTCTTCAATTTCTTAAAACATAAATAGTTTTCTATTAAAATAAAAAGGAATCGCCTTTCTAGTTTTCAATGGTTTGTAGCAAAAGTTGTCTCAAAATGCCTGTTAAAAAATAATTAAGGTACTTTTTAATAACACTATGGAAATCTTTAAATTATTTCGCTCACTCGGTGGAACATCGACGTAACTATAAAATTTAGGTAACATATTTCATCATATTGAATTTGAATGGATATTTTTACAAAGGTACAATCAGTTTTAACTGATTCTCCATTATTCTAATGACAAACTATGTATTATCTCTCTATTATATAAAAATGTTTTGTTATTTCTCCCTTATTATGGTTACTAATTAGTAATACGAATTATAACTATTTAATTTTATAAATTGGATAGAAGGCTTGATATATAATATAGATTTTTTAAATAATTAAAATTTGTCCGTACTAAGGTTTGCATTTATTTCATGTGGTTAAAAATGATACAATCTCAACTACAGAATTCATGAAAATACAGTTTTGCAATTCGAGAAAGTACAATTAAGTGAACAGTTGTATAATTTGTATAATGATAGGCAAACAGGGGATACCCCCGTAGTTTATAAAAAAAGCAATTAGAGATTGAATAATAATTATACAAATTGTTTCGAATATTGTTTTTATCTATTTCTTATTTTAGCTATATTGTTTTTATATATTATTATATTTTGCATTTTAAAAATTGTAATTATGGAGCAGAACTTTGGGGTTCTGCAAAACAAACACATATAAACAAAATACAAACAACACAATAAAAAAATCTACGAAAAATTGTTAACACACCTTGGTACATTTCAAATAACATTATACATTACGACTTGAAACACCCTAACAGAAAAATTCTACATCCACGATAAATACACTACATTTCATTCTCAAGTAAAAAACACCAATCTTCTGGTTCTTTCTATCTCCTGCTCCCTATTACCGGGACGACGCAGATCAAAAAGAAAATTTGCAAGAGATCTACTATATCGATAAAAACAAAATCAAACAAATACGCCAAATACAATATAAATACAAACAAATTTACTAGATGCGCTGCGGCATCTGCAATACTTTTCTTTAAACATTCAAAACATTAATTAAAAGTTGAATCACGTAACACGGCTCGTCATTTTTTTTTAACTGACCCCAATGTCTGCAGTTTATTTATTGTATTTGATTCATGATTTATTTGCTTTCAATGAATCTTATCGATTAGTTAGTTATATAGGTGCATCCGACGATAAAGTACTAATTATAGTCGGCTGAGTAATTGCTGACTCAGCCGGATCAGGCTCGTATTTGTCATTCAAAGATTATTTCTAAGTAGGGCCGCCACTCACCTTGTGAGAGTGTATTAACTTCGCATGACCTCGCCAGCCACTACATTCTTTCCTAGTCATTCATGTTATGTAGTATTTCTTTGTGAATGGATTTTATTTTTTACTAACGAAAAAATCGTTATATAATCATTCCAGTTAAAAACAAATATTTTGTTTTCGAGTTATCGATATCAGTCAGGGAATTACCAACGTAGTGCGCCGCAAAATAACAGATATCGTAATGTGCTATACAGAATATAGTCACCTACTACCTGTAAATTCTCCCATAAAAAAAAACAAAACATACAAACATCTTCGATTTATTGCAAAATATCATTAATTAACGTTTAATTGAATTTGAGATAATCGAATTTGAAGTTTGTAAATATTTTTAAAAAATACTAAAATCGCAATTGGATTATTCACTTTTTGTTAATTGCAATTCTAAATATTTATTCTATTTTTGACAATTAAATTAATTAACATATACAGAACAACGACAGAAGAATTAAAAATGAAACCACAACGCACATAGTGACTTTTTGCACAATATCATAGTTAAACAATACACTAACTTCCTTTAACTTGCTAAGTACATAGAAGGGGGTTAGGGTCGGCTTACTTAGTGAGTTTTATTAACCATCTGATCAATTAATCCAGTGAAAGAAGTCAATAAGTACCAGATAGTGAATTTCGGCCATCTATTATTTAACATTATTTGGAGAACAAGAGGTCATTAGGTACCTGGTAGCGGACTTTTCTCTCTGTCGTGTCAAAATCAGAACATCGTGGACTTAGTGAAACTATTTTTACCTTATAAATGGATTTGTATTCCTTGCATGTACTTAATGAGTTATTGTATCGATAAACATGATCGAAATTAACAACTATGTGCCTTCAGATAAAAAATCAAACTAAAGTGTAATTTTTCGCAATAAATCTACAATATGTTATAAAGATTTTAATTAATTAATACTATTCTATATTAAAAATAAATAAATAGAAATTCTAGTATTTACTACTTAGAATATCCAGTTCTTAAGAACCATTCCTTTAATCTTGATCTTCTTTGCCCTTGTATTTTTCTACCAATCTTTGAATAGACAATCCAACCTACTCAGCTCTGCCGTCTGCCCTCTTTTTATTGAACAACATCTTTTTGAAAATTGTTTTACTTTTTTTTGAATATAATTCTTCTTGAAACCTATGATAATTATCTTCCTGACGAATTTGTAATTAAATTAGTAATTTAATTAGAAGCCTTTATGGCGTCTAGCTTTGTTTATCCTTGTATTAAAAAAAATATAGTATTTGGCGAATAGTTTGATTACAGTATTGAAACAATGGAATGACATTTTTTAGGACACATAGATGGTAGGATACTTTTTAAGAAGAAAGTAGGTTGTATTTTCGTACCTCAAAAACCGTTAATTTTAATAGTAATCAATATTTTTTTTAGTTAAAAATGTAATCATAACATTGAATTCGGATTAAATTCTGAAAAAAATTTATGTAAAGACCGGGATTCGTCTGGGAAAAAATATATTTCTTGGTTGCTATAAAAATTAGTAATTAAGTATTTTATTAGACGCTGAAATCGAATCTTCACATAATTTATTCGAGGAAGCCGATCGGGCTAACGCGTTATATAAAGCACGCGTTGTCCGGCAACCTAATAACCGAAGATAACTAGTTCAAAACATGGTGCCAAACGAGTAACGGAAAACTGTCGAAATCTATTTAAATAAATTATTTCTTTTTTTTTTTTTTTGTACTTCGAAAACTAGATAAACTGTTTTATTGATACCTTGTAGAGTTCCCGAGAATATTTTCAGTTGGCAGAATATATATTTTTCTGTTTTGATTGACTAGTTCAAATGAAAAAGAAAAAAAAAAGATTTGGTCGATGTCGTGAGTTTTCCCCCCTTCCGTGAGGTTTCCCACTCTGTGCCGGGGTGATTTTAACTATGGAATTAATTTCCGCCCTCACAAGGCCCGAGAAAAAGTCATTTCTAAGTCTTCTTCTTCTCACAGTTTCTTTAAACTGTTAACGTTGTAAGCGTATATTTTTTATAAAGAAATTGTTTTTTATTCATTGATATTTACAACTGTATTATAAAAAAAAATACAACTAGTAAATGTGCTTTCAGGAATATAATAACATGAAATCTTGTTGAGAAAGTACCCTCTGATAGCACTCAAATAATAATTTTACCCAAGAAGATCACAAGGCCACCTTTTTTTCAGAGTCCTCGGAGGGTTATCAGGGATCTAGGAGGAAGCAAGGTTTGAAACGAAAGGGTTCGGATGGTTCTGCTGTTTGTTATGGAAGGATAGGTAACTGGATTGGGCCAAATCGGAAACATATGGAGCATTAAGGTCTTTATGGATGATTTTATTTGTGAAACATTAAGGATCGTTGATGATTTTACGAAGGATTTTGGATTGTAAGGATTGGATACGAGAGAATTTCGATAGTTTAGTGGAGCCCCAAAGCTCAATTTCGTAAGTCCAAATAGGTCTTATTATTGTCATATATATGAGTCGTTTGTAATTGATTGAAATCTTAGATAAAGGAATGTTAAATTTTGAATGGTTGAATTCTAAAAATTCATTTTACAATAATTTTCTTTTTACTTTTATATTTAGTTTTACACACAAAAACAAATCAATTGGTTTATGATAAACTTGAAATACTGCATACTAAAGTAAGGCAGTAATACTATATTAATAAAAGTTAAATTATATTACATATTATGTACTCCTCGTGGCAACTATATATTTAGATGTATCGAAGAAGTGTGTAATGTTTTCTCACATATCACCATAAGATCCCCGCCTTGAAATCCGAGATTCCACGTTATTGAAAATTTTAGAGAACGGAATCGTTATATATTAGGAGCAATTTAATGATACGACATTGTTGAAATAATATTATCGGTCTGCCGATTAGTTACTAGGGTGACATTAGGAGTCATCGATGACCCAAAGCAGTGGGGATAGATAAGGGGGCTACGCAACAGCGATTGTCGAACAATATCCAGGAGAGTGGGCAGTGAGTAGTGAGTCAGTCTGTACCGAACAGTCGAGCGCGCCATGGCACCGCACACGCTTCAACTCGCAAGGCAATCCATAGTTTGCCTCATCCAGGCCAAGATGTTTGCCTTTACTGGTAATTATTATTATTATTATTACAGTATAATTATTATGTGATATCGCCTCATTAGTTGATCTTATAGTGTGAATTTGCTCTCTGATCTCTATTATAATTGACCTTAATTGAGACAGAATGTAATATTAATCTATAAACAAGGTTGAAAAAAATTGTATATGGATAATTAATGTCGGATCATTATTTTCTATTTTTATTCATTAATGTATTATTATCACGCTAAAAACTTAAATAAAGACAAAATTTAGAAGATTAAAATGTTTTAAAAACAAAACAAAAAGATTACTAATTTATTTCTATGATTGTAAAATCTAATAAACGTTCATTTGATTTTGAGAAGAAATTGAAGCTTTTATGAAATGTTTTTAATTGAATACTTAATAATTGACCGTTTTATTATTAAGGAAGGAGATGGTCCGGGGTGGTGGTCATAAATAGACTAAATAGTTTTTTTTGCCACTTTTTAGTCTTTTTATAACCGCCACCCCGAAATCTTTTTTATTTTTAACAGTATAAAACTATATATATATATATATTTTAGATTTTTTGTGAAATCAACAAACTTTAAATAAAAGTTTAAAAAAAGAAAGAAAGTGTTTTGCAAAACCTCTGCTAGTTAAGTTGCAAGGTAACTTGCAGAACTAACACATAAAAGAAGCAGAACTAACGCATCACTAACAAAAAAAAAAAAAAAAAAATGGAGTAGACTCCAGTCATACCGAAATAGATTGAAAATTATAGTTAAAATTTCATTTAAAGCTCATTCAGAGTTCAGAAAGATCATTATGATATAAAATAGTTCATTTAATTTATGTTTTCTTAACTAATTAACTTGTTTGATAATAGACTTAAAACTGATTCATAATGAATTATAAAGTGGTTTTTATAGCATTAACTAAATGCCCTTTAATTGTCGTTTGCAATAAAACAGTTTGCTAATGCTCTCTTATTTCTAAACATAAACAACTTATTGTCTTGGTTGTGACAATCTCATTTCATCATTTTTTTTTTAAAAGTAACTCCACAAACATGTTACATTATTACTATTAGAAAAGTGGTTTCCCTTTTAAAATTAATATATTTGTTTTCAACAATAAAATATATTAAAATTAATTCAAAGTTTTACCTCTTTCAGGCATGTTCATATTTTAAACTTTATATTTACCTATTCTCATTCCTAAAAAAACATGTTCATTTTTCGGTTTACGCTATGCATATTAGTGATAACAGTTAACTTTTTAATCAACATAATTTTTTATGTATTTATGTATATACTTCGCATCATTTGGAAAAATGTAACATTTTTGGTTTTGATTTTAATATTAAATCTTTTTTTCTTATTATTATATTAAATTTGAGTATTTTCGACACTGGGCTATCTGCACATATTATTTATTATATTCTTAAATGCAGTCTGTATTATTTGAGAGCTTTAAAAGTGATTACTGATTGAAACCTGGTTTTGTTGACGAAGCAATAACAAAACGATGACTCATAATAGCAAGCAATCCTAAATCCTGCATAGCTCCCTTAATTTTCCATTGCATTCCGTTATAATTTATTTTGTTTCTCCTTTTTTTTTTCTTTTTAAAAATTAGTAATATATTAGTATGAAAGAGACGAATGGCTAAATAGTCAACTGATCAATTACATGGATGAAACAAAATTAGCAGGAATTTCAGTCGATAATTTTATTAGGTTAGCCGACGTTTCGACCTAAACATCTGGGTCATCCCCAGGAAGTGGAGACAAAATCCCCCTCGTGTTGGCTAATCTAATAAAAATATCGACTAAATTTTCTGAAGACTTGGTTTCATCCTTATAGTAGTTTTTTTTTGTAGAATGAGTTTTTTTTTTCTCAAAAATCTTTTCTTTTTTTTTCGTTGAATCAGAAATTATCTTATTTTGCTATTTTCGCTGATATGTTGCGAATTCCATTCTATTCTCTATTTGATATCAGATACTTTGCTTGCTTTATATTTAGTATGAATTTACAAGTAAAGAAAATGAATATGAAAAATTGGCTTGTTTTGTTGTTAATCTCTCCTGATGTCCACTCTTAACTTCTTATAATAATCAACAGATAGTTTTAATCATATTAAATATAAATATTTATTGATTTCTTATAAATACTTTTTTTATCTTTGTATTTAAATTGCTCAACAGTTTTCCAAATTGTTGTAAGTGTAAAAATTTGAAATAAATCTTGTCAATTGTTCAATCATTTAGAAAGTAGATTAATTAAAAAAAAAAATTGTATTAAACTTCCGATGTTCATTTCTGGTAACAGGACTGTCTGTAAAATTATTATATTTATAAGTATTCGGGAAAAAAAACAGATTAGAAATTTTTTTTTTTATTTATTTTTTTTTTTTGCACGAATTATTCTCTAATTATCAATATCATCACTTGAGGGTAAGTTCTATAAAAATTTTTTTGAAAGCTATTTTATCTTATTAATATGATCTATGGAAACGACAAACTCCCCTCCCATCCAGAACCATTTTTTATTATTTAAATTAAAATTTTGTAATAAATATTTTTTATCGAGTAACGAATTTAAATTTCTTATTTTATTTCAGTTATGTAAAGATCACAATTATGTTTTACTGTCTGCTACTATGCAATTTTTTTTAATATTACGATGCCTTGAAACGTCACCATACGAGCCTCACCCGATCACGGTGAAGGCATCCCCCGACGATGTGTATTCGATATCTTTATGGGATTTTTGTTATTAAACAATTTTACGCTTTATCAGGTCTCAATTTGATAATTTTTAAATTAATTGATTTGAGGTTAGCGCCTCTTAAGGGCATAGTTCATCTTTTTGTAGGCTTTAAGTAATTTGTATATTATCATTGTGTAACAATCACGACGTGTGTTCTTAGTATGTTTACAATAAAACTTCAAATAGAGAAAAACATTATAATTATCCATTTTTAACAATAATACATTAATGAGACTTTATTTTATAGTTATCACAATTTAAATATATCGTCTTGTATGATGCTTTCAATAATTCATTAATTTCTTTTTATCTTAAAGTCAACAAATTTACCCAAGAGAAATTAATCAAGCTGTTGGTTTTTAAATATATTAACGCGCTTGTTTATACGATTTGTTTTACTTTATAGTGAGTCGTTTATCAACATTTAGCAATTTGTACATATTTAGTATGTGGCGTCGCTTTAATATATAAATATTTTAGTACTTAAATAACATTTAAATATTTGTAATATTAAATCTACAACTGCTTCCTGCAGTGTCACATACCACGATGAAGACCTCCAAGGCGGGTCGAAATGTCGGCATATCGATTAAAATTAATATTTTTTAAAAATTTAGTATTTATTTGTCCGCATCTCCCCCGACCAACTCCTCATATAAATATTTGTGTACATATATTTACTAGTTACAGATTTAAAAAAAAATAATTCGGAGTCTTATGATGTACAAATGGAGTTAGTTTATTGAATTTCCACAGTAACTACTCATTACGTATTTGCTCGTCGACCGTTGTAGATTGCTATGTAAACAATGGATTTTTGGCGAATTCGATATTATCGAAAGGCGAACAATATTTTAAGTGCAAGAATAATATGTAAACTCTTTATAAATATAGGTTAAACTTCATGACCACAAAATCCATTAATCTCCGCTTCTTCTCTTCTCTCTTCCTCTTGGTAACACACACACACACACTGTGAATACCAAAAGCTTGATGGCAATCCCATCGAACTTCACCTAGTTATAGCTTGTCCCGTTAACATTAGCCCAGATTGTACAACCCTCATTCACCATGTCTTCTCGGTTGTTGCTAAACCAATTTCTTTTCATACCATCTTGCGTAATGGATTTTCTCGCTAACCTACTATACGATGGCTTTCTTCATAGCAGTGCTATGGCAGTTTAAAGGACATACTAAATTTAAAATATTTTTCTCTCCTATTATACGGTTAGAATTGATAATTTCTACGTTGTCTTTATGTCATCAAACCGATGTTTGTTGTAAACAGAATTAGCATCTTGTCACCGTCATTGTGAAATACGTAAATATTACAATGACTGCAGTCCGATCCTAGCTGCTTGTGTGGTTCCTGTTTCTTTAAACTTATTCTGGCTTCTCCTTATTCGTTCTGATGTTTTGTCCGGTTTTTTTTTAGTAATAGGTGTAGTGACATTTTTACAAAATTTACATGATGTAAAATAACGGTTGGAAATGTCAATATGGGCATTATTAAGCTTATTTCTCTCCGTGGGAGGTCGAGGTGGGTGTAGGAATCTATGTCAGAGATAAAATGTATTTTCTGCCACAGGATGACATTTTTACGATTCATATTATACGAGAAAAATCCAAATATTCCTCATTTGTATTTTGAAATATTTACAATCCTTGAATCGCTTAAGATAATCGCAAATTAGATAACAATAAATATTTGGTGATATGGTATAGGTAATTTGAATATGATTACATTTTAATTTTATTGATAGCATTAGAACGATTAGAACTTTATAAACTGATTTTCTATATTTTTTTTATCAATTCGCCAGTTTTTGTTTTTACACAATTATCACAAGTTTATTTTTTTTCTAGAATAATAGACCAATCTTATGTAAAAAATTCAATAATAGTACCACCTAATAATTATATATCGTCACCACATTGTTTTTAAGTAAGGAATGTAAACATAATAATACCTATTTTTCAAGTGTTCAAAAAGTTTACTTTTAAAATCCTCATTGGGAATATTTTTTTTAGTTCTGAGCCTGATTTCTGAATTTATGTTTGTTTCGCTCAATTCCTACTGACTTTAATATCAGTGACACACTTGAAAATAGTGCTAGGATCTCCTAGAGTTCTGCTTTTACCTATACGATTGGGGATCACGTGTAGTTCATAGTTTCTACAGCTGCTTGTTAATAACGTACATAAATATTGCCTATACTTAAGATTTTATTTATTTAATTTTAATTGTAATAAATAAAATTAATTTGTT